GGAATGTTCACAAGGACAACATCGTTTTCCAACTGTGCTTGCACTAAGCATTGTTTGAATGCGGCGGTCATTTTCAGAGAACGGAACGTAAACATAATGGAACTTTGATTCCAGTGTATCTGCTTCCGTTCATAGATGTTTTTTGGAAGACCTGGGTTGGAGCGAATCCGTTTATTATTTGGGATACCATTCCTACAGACTCTTTTCTCTCACTTTCACTACTGCTAACATTAACTGCTGTTTTAAACATATTGCGAATCAATGCATTTTCATAGCAGTAGGATGGGCAGATTTTGCGTATAAAATGATATTCTTACAGCACTCTTTTTGATACTACTTCACGTGTACCGCTCTGTTGCTTAACATCAAGTGTGTGTTGAGGTACGGCAACCAAACGTCGCGTGGCTTTTTCTTCGTAAGACTAATGTACGAATAAAAATTACTATAAAAACCAATAACGGTTATTCGCTCCAACCCAGGTCTTCCACAAAAACATCTATGAACGCAAGCAGACACACTGGAACTACAACTCCATTATGTTTACCGTTCATCTCCGACGAATTGACTGCCGCATTCAAACAAAGCTTAGTGCAAGCACAGTTGGCGATGTTGTCCTTGTGAACATTCCTTGGAATAATCTAGAGACAACTAAATCGTAATAGGTTATATTATAGAGCTTGTATCATGATGGATTGCGTGTCCGAACGGAAGATGGGGAGACTGCTCCAAGTGCGGAGTAGTTCATCAGCTGGAGTGCACGGATTTCCATGCCACCCACGTCGGTGAGACCGGTCGACCACTTCATGTACATGTAAGCGAGCACTTGACTAAAGTAAAAGAATACAGAGTCTCGTGATCCCTTTGGGAAAGCATAGGAAGGAAAACCATAACGGCGCTGATTTAGATGTAAGATGCAATTCTAGGGTTGGAGAAAAATATCTCTTCCCGAAAAGCCTTAGAAGCCTCTTGGATACAATACCTAGAATGAACAGCAGAAATGAGCATCTGTCTGTTACAAATGATCTACAGCCCTTTCTATAACTCTGCGATCTTTATGCCTGCCACTACTTAAGCGCGTTCAATTCATCTTGAACGCTAGTACAGTCATCATCAAAAGTAGGCAGAAGTGTAAAATTAGATCTTGCTAAGCAGGGTGAAACACTGGTGAGTTGTTGTCAATTCTGAGCCAGTGTCCCTCATAATGGATGATTCGAATATACGGTATGGGGGAGGTGTTTGGTGGGTTGGAACTTGGATAAAAGGTGAATGAATTACTTTTAAGCCTCTGAAGAAGGCGTTATGCCAAAACGTTGGGCTTTGAAATAAAGTGTTTTACTAATAACCTGTAACGGCATAAGAACAAAATAAACCAAAAAAGGCCTTTACACATATTTCGACAGCACTCTCATGGATATTTGGCATATAGGAGTTAGAAAGTTGGGTAGAAATTTTGAACAACCAATTTCGACTGACACTTTATTTGAACGAATAACATTCGTTGCTTTCAAAAACCGGAGTTATGCCTCCTACGATTGGCTGTTCCCAAAGCACAAGTAATGGAGCTATACGATGGAGCTATACGATGGAGCTATACCCAATACATCTACTGATGGAAAGTTGCTGGACAATTGGTAATTGTTATGCCCTTTACAGTCGATATTGGATCTACGAGCAAAAAAGTGCCAGTTTATTGAAATGGCTTTTTGAGCCATCTGATAAATGGTATAAAAATTTTGAGAAGAAAAATGCACATTTCGGATACTCTTCAACGTAGCAATGGTAAGCTCAATTTAAAATTGTTCTCCAAGATGACTACCAGTGTAAAGGAGGCTGATTTGAAGTCTGTTTCCTGGACGAAATTTTGTTGCTAGTAACGGATAATTTGCTCAAGACCTGACTTTTGCAGTGCTGCATATCTTGAACAAAAAAAACTAAGATTTTGCTAAATTCATAAAAGTTAAGCATTCTGAAAGAATATCCTTAGGGGGTACGCGAACGAAAAAACAGTTATGCGAATCTCTTTAAAATCTAAACCATTAAAATCTAGATCCAAGAATTTAGCAGCGAGTATTGCGTAAAAGACGTGTAGCGCATCCTGCAACAAAGGAGAAGATTGCTTTGCTTATGATATGGGATAAAAAAGAGGGGGAGAAGAAGAAAGAAAGCAAATAAGATGTAGAGTACAATTTTCCCCCACATTTTTAACTTGCTGTTTTATTCCATATATGACAACAATGTTTATGAGAAAGTTGACTTGAAAGATTTTTCTTTGAGCCCTCGTAGTTTCGCCTTTGATAGATTCTGCGAAAAGGTTGGAAGATTTGTGTTTCTTATAACTCCAGCACTTTGTGAGCGAAGCACAGATGCAGCGCAAATAGTAGTTTGTGACTATGAGTTCACAATAGTAGGTCCAGGCAATTTCTTATTACCACAATTCACCAACGCTGCAGCCTGGTATCAGTGTTGGGTCACAGGGACTCCTTCTACTTTAACCGCCGTCAGCCTTCGATTCAACCACCTTGAATGTAGGGATACAGAAGGTTGACAGTTTTTGAGTGTTCATGAAATGCAGATGAAATGGTATTGTTGAAGCGCTGTTGCACAGCACAGCAGCGACTTTTAAAACACGCCAGTCAGCTGTAGAAACTGCTTGAAATTAAAAGATGCGTATTTTAGGGTTTGTTTGCTTTTTTTTCGTGGATATTTTGACACCCTGAGAATGTAATTCTGAGTACCAAAATAAGGTTCTAATAATATCACCTAGGCGTTAGCCTACTTAAATGTTACTAGCTTTGATAATGATATTTCATTCAAGCCAGTATAATTTTGCAAATTTGACCAGTTGAACTTATGAGTTGTTTGTCAGAGTGCCATACGAAACATCTGCAATACGCCCTACTAATGTTAAAAGATTTGTCTGTTGGGCCACGATATCGAAAAGAAAACTAATCAACAGGGATATTTTGAAGAATTCCTGCAAGATTTCCGGATAACCTAACTTATTATGCGTGATCATTTTGCAGATGATGAAAAAAGGCTTTAGAGCCAAATACCTAAAAGACGCTAAGTTATTGAAGCAGGGCTCAATTGCGTGGGGCAACACAGAACGACCACAACATAGGGCTTGGACGCTTCCGCTCCTTTATGATACCACTTACTTTTCCGACAATTGAGTAATATGAGAAACGTCCAAAGAATCAAAATCTATGTGCTTATTTAGTATTTGAGGACAATCAATGCATATTTTTTGACATTTATTCGTGCTACTCATCAACTATCGCGGTGAACCCATTTATATCCTTGCAAAACTGTTTAGGAACTAAAGCATGACGTTAATGTTAAATGATTTTCAACTCTTTCATAAATATTCATTTCTATCGCTTAAAGGTCACACTTGATGAATCATGTAAAGATAACTCTCCCAACTGTACGTTATCTACACTTTACAATTTCTCTAACTATCGCATCCAACGGAAACAGCAAGTTTTGGTTATGTTTTGAGACTAGAAAGGACAATCTTAATCTTTTTTTTCTGTATATTACCACTCAGCTTTTGCGATAATGCCGAGGTAGGAGTTGTTTTG